CAGAAAATCAACATTAACAATTAAATCGTAAAACTATGATGGCGATAACCAGGGAACGGATTTACATAGAAGTGTGATTTATAAAATATGTGGAGGAAAAAATTGAATTAAAAAAAAATAAATACAATTATAATTATTGAATTATCATTATGATTTGTTGCATTGAATTATTACAATTTTTTTTAAATTATCGAATGTGAAATGTCGCTTATTAGGTCTCAAAATATTTTTAAAACGGCTAAATTATTATTCCATATCAACCGATGTAATTTGATCATATTTGAAGCGCATAATATCAGAAGGCGATAATTCCAAATTTTTATAAGGGTGTCTGCCACTCATTATATCATTGATTATTTTAAAATCAATATAGGCTAGATTTTTTCTGCAACAGAATGAATTTTCTTTTTTACAACATCTCCTATTGGTCCGTTTATACGAGTTTTAATTTTTTAATCGCTAATTCGACAATTTGCATACTATCATTTAAGGATATATTTTTTGTTTCTAATTTTATAATTGTATGTGCAATGAAACTACAATTCACCGAGATGAAAATTAATATATTTTTTAATTTTACATAATATTTTGAGCTTTTCCAATAGCGATAGAAGTTTCTGGATCTAATTTCGAAATAATTTTTAATATTTTCGTATGAAAAAACGTATGAAATGATAAAATATGTTTAAAAATATTTTAAAATTAGTGAACTATGTAAAAATATGTAAAATAAAAGTAGCATCATTTTTTGATTTAAATCGTGAATATTTCTTATCGGATCTTAAATATCTTGTTTTAATAAAAATATGCATTTACATATAAATCCGTTCCCTAGTGATAACAAAAAGTGCTTCTATATTAGATGGCACAGTACGTCTGACTTTTGGAGCTTTTATATTTGCTGCTGAATCACTTCCTGGTTGGTTTCCCCTCGTGGTTTTTGTCGACTAATAGTTATGATTTGCAACTCGTTCGTGTAACACTGCATAGTTTTTTCAAACTCGCACGTGTAACAGGTGCATATTTCAAGTGTTATATGATATGATTATATCGTCGTTATATTATACATCGTTATATGATAACTTTTAATATAGTTTTCCATGGCATATCAGTCAACTGCGACTGGGTACTCTCCGCTCATCACCACGATGCCAAGGTCGTCGCTTATTAGACTCATGGTCAATTCAATCATTCGTGTTTATTAGACTCAAAACAGACTGTCCGAGTTTGAAAGTTTATACTTAAAATATATTGTTGTATTATTGACAATATTTGGATGATTAGAGCAGTAAATATGTAAGAAACAAATAAATACGTTTTCAATTTTAATTTTCCTATTTCATCCAAATGTACTAATATATACGATCGTATATATCGTTCACACACACAATTGTATTACTAAATAGATCTCAATAAAAGATTTAAATTTATTTCTAGATTTTAAAAATTAAAAAAAAAAAATCATATTAGATATTATTACTTTCGATGGTCTTTCGATCTTTCGAGGAATTTATTCGGTTAATGGGACCTTAAAGACCGACTACTGTATTTTATACGTTTACATCGTCTTCGGGACATGTCAAACTAGTGTTATTGTCGGTGTAGTGCGCAATTGCGTAGTAATAATAACAATAATTATGATAATACTACAGCTGATATTATTTTGGGTGTGTATAACCGGCACGGGCTGCTGCAGTGTCTATCCAACGTATAAATTCACGTGTAAATCGTGTGCAAGTCCAATTGCACACAGCTACGTGTACGAGGCACGACATCTGATTCGATCATATTTCCACTTTGCGTCCGACTCACGGGCCTCGACCGTTTCCAGCATTGTAAAGAGCCCAGAGCCGGATTTAATCATTGTGCCGTTTTAAGCACTATAGTTTATAAATAAATTGCCGCCTTTTAATATAAATATATTTTTTTAGTCTAATAAATGATATTAAGCCATACAATTATTGTTGTTTCATTTATTACTTAAAATTTTAATGATGTAAAATAAAAATAAACAACTGCTATAAAAATGCATTCTTCCATTCATGTGAAAAACTTAACTATAAAAATATGATATACAATATAATGATAAAAAACATGGTAGTAAAAAATGCTTAAACAGTTCATTTTTAAATTATATTCAAAATCAAATAGTTAGTATCTAGTACCCATCGGCTTAAATAAAATAGAACATTTTAAAATTAGTTGCATTTATATTAGTTCTAGTTACATATAATAAAAATGTAATACTATAACAATTATTTGCCGCCCTAAGCACTAGCTTACCAGTGTTTACTGGGAAATACAGCTCTGAGAAAGTCACAAGACCGTCGCTGCGCGCATTACAACGTAAGGGTGTTTCATGCACCCGTGTGCACGTACACGCAAAGATACTCTAATCCATCGCCGCGCGTGATGCTCTTAATATTTTGATAACCCTTGCATGGATCCCCGTGACCGTACGTGCGTATGCCGTCTCCGTTGTCCGAAATTTAAGCGAGTACGTGTATGAGAAATACGTTCGACATTATTTCATGCATTCGATTCTGTGCATCACAGTGTGCACACGAGCGACTTAATATATACCTACAAATCGCTGTCGATAATTTTTTTATTTCTTCAGTAGAAAATCTATACGCGTTTTATCGCTTGAGGCGTGTCCAGGATCAAAATATAGGACAGACCTAGTTATGGTTATTTTAATTTTTATAGGTACACATTATTTTTATTAATTTTTTTTTTTTCGTAAATTTTTCATAACATTTTTAAATTTGATTAGAAAAAATTATCGTACAGTACAATATCACACGATTCCCCCTGTTTGACTTGTTAATAATACTTAAAGATATTACAAAGTAAATAATAATGATGTAAAAAATATTAATGATAACTATTTGAAAACAGGGTAGGCCCGGGCCAATCAGGCCTACTCTCCGGGCACGCCCCTGTATATCGCACACGCATAATAATGTAAAATTATTAAACTCACGGTGGATAATTCTCATATAACATTATTTGGTGCACAAATATTATATTTAATCATAAGACATGCGTACGTGCGCGCTAAATGTCCGTTATTGAATGGGTTTTGTAAATAAAAGGACTCTAGTCGTTCTTGGGCGTCTTCGGTTTTGTGCGTACACATCGACTATGTGCGCAAAATCGTAAGGTCCATTATAATATAGAATGTTGGTATGTTTGCATATTTGCAGATTTCGCGTAGAACATACAAATGTTTATTTTATTTTCCACGGCGATCTCTCTAGACGGTCTTACTATAAATTCAGCCCATTACAACCATGGGCAAGCATATTCCTCGAGAGTGATAATCATTTTTTTTTAATTTTTAAGGTAATACTGTCGATATTTTATACTAATTTAGTTAAATTGTAAAATGTGTTTCTTATTTTTATCATAATTTTAAATTGTTACGCATTATCATTGTTGAATATATTTTATTAAATATAATTTTCACAATACGAATAACTTGTGTTTAAAACAACAGTGATGCTGCGTAACAAACAACATCTACATTATATAGTATAATGTACTACCTACATACCAATCACACAAGTTCGGTGCGGTCTTTTTACAAAATAGTCAGAAAGTTGTACTCGGCATTCCCAGAAATTACTTAACGGATGAGAAAACTATGTACTGACGTTTTCTCTAACTCATGACTTGAAAAGTAGGTTTAAACGAATCAAGCCAAATCCGTCTTTTTTAACTGAATGGGACGAATTAGTGTCTGCGTACGCAATAAGTGATTTATCAGAGTTTCTCCATCGGTCATTTAGTTTTCGAGAAAAAGCGCAGATAAAGTTTAAACGAAAAAATGAATTTAGAGACTTTCGGTCAGTGGCACGCGTGAAGTGCAAAATAGTAGGGACGTTAATTTGACATTGCTTTTAAAACTTTCCCAAACGATCAACACTTTGGGGCGTACACATAGATACAACACATATGGTCGGTCACCGTTTACAGGTAAGAACCATTGTTGAAATGTCCGTGTGCACATTTCGTTGCGCGACCTTATGGATTACCCAGGAGACCACCAAAGGGGCTTTTTGGTAATTATTAAGTAAGTTCATACATTCACTGAAAATTAAACAAAAAAAACCTTATTGAACGAAAAGAGCAAACAATTCTTTCCAATTTTTTTTTTCAGCGAATGGTATAAAAATCATAATACTCGAGTAAACATAATATGGATACAACACGCTTAAATCATATTATATAAATACATTCAAAACATATTGTTGTTTCATAAAATTCCGAAACAAAAAACGGTACCACATATAATGGTGGATATTTTAAACTAAATCATTGTCGAACTCAGATAAGTGAAATTGTAAAAAAACATTATTCATAAGTTTTGATGGGCCGGAGAACTCAATTTTGATGCAACTGCCTCAACTTTTCGAAGGGTGTGGTGTTACTTAGTAACTGTAGTGCCAAATCACATTCTAGGACCCGAATATTAATGCTTAGGCTGAAAATTTTATTTCCATCCTAATTTTGTTGTCAGTGAATTTTGTCAGAGTATTTATATAAGTTACATGTATACTATAAATGTATATAGTTTTATCTTAAAACGATTAAATTTGGAAACTGAGGGAATGGATTTTTGAGGTTAGAAATTAGAGGTGTTGGCGATGGGTAAGTATATGATAATGCGCCATTTAAAATTGAAATTCAGTCTACCACTGTTCATTAGTAACTATCACGACTGTTCAATTTTTATTTTACCTACATCGGAATCAGGAATGGTACTTGGGGTTACATTTTCTCTATTTGCTAATCGTAGACATAGGTATCAACAATTAAGTTTTTTTTTCTCTTGTCAATCAACAGTACAGAAACGAAGTTAGATTAAACAAAAATATAACTAACTACATTTAAATAAAATGGAAAACAAATTTAAATAAAGTAGCCAGAGGAATGAATATAATAAAGTATATATAAGTAGTTTTTAAAATACGATTTTCCGTGTACTGTTGCAGTGATCAAAAGCGAATATCATCACCACCATCATCAGCATCACCTTCAGCCGGTCAATTCGGCGGCGGTGGCGGCGTTCGGGGGGTCTCCAACCATGATGTCGACAGCGGCCGGCCAGGGGCTGATGTCAGTGGCGGATACGGCACGAGGTGGCAGCGGCGGCGGCGGTGGTGGTGGCGGCGGTAACAGTGGCGGTCAACAGCAAATGATGCTGAACCAGTCGCCGGTGGTGACCAGGTCGCAGATGATGAACGGCAACAACGCGGCCATGCTGCTGATGAACAACACGGGCCGGACGAACTTCACCAACAAGCAGCTGACCGAGCTGGAGAAGGAGTTTCACTTCAACAGGTACCTGACCCGGGCCCGGCGAATCGAGATCGCATCCGCGCTGCAGCTGAACGAGACCCAGGTGAAAATATGGTTCCAGAACAGACGGATGAAGCAGAAGAAGCGGCAGCGGGAGGGTTTGCTGCCGGCGGCCCAGCAGCAGCAGCACCATCAACAGGAAATGCACTTGAGTGGCACCAGCAGCACCAGTAACTCGCCCACCGCGTCCACCAACGTGTAACTACAACAACCCTTATAATTCCATAAAATCATAACCAACCGCGTTCCGCCGAAACCCTCGTGGGGTCGGTGGTTGAACGTTAGTGTGGCGGATACGCGTTGCCCGTGTACGATTGTGAACACGTCGTCGTGCGGTACGACGCACGGGATGGACGCGCGTGCTGGGCAGCGATTGTCGTGCGCGTCACACGCCTGATCGTGAAATGTGATCGTAGACACGCGTAGAGCATTTCGACGGGGACGTACCGGCGGGCATATATCCGTCCCTGAAGACTTGTGATTGGGTGACGAAAAACAATTGCTCGCGCTGGGAAAACGTTATCGGAGAAGAAGCGTAGGGGTATCCCGCGGTATCCCGTGGTGCACGCGCGATCGATTCTGTACATTCTTGCGTTTACCGGAAAGGGACGATGAGGCCGTCGTCACATGGCAATCGACCGCTAAACGGACGCCCATGGACTGGTAGTGTAATGGACGTTTAGCGGCCGATTTGTTATTTTTCACCACGCAACACAACTATCCGGATAAATGTTATGGAGACGGGCAGGAGGTTAGGCTTTTGTCCCTCGCGTTAGATTTGTTTGGCGGTCGGACCGGTTGACACGCAATCGACCAACGAAATCATAAAGTGCGCTATTTCGGCTACGGTTAGCGTAACTCCCGACCTGACCACGACCATCAGTCGACTGGTTGTCTGTCAACGGTGACAACCCATTCCCGTACGTTTCGAATTATTCGAAACCGTAACATTGTAACAAAGACCTGTGGTGGTAAGCTTGACCCATAATTTACCCATTACGATTGATCCACGGGGTAGCGCGCGCTTATCCACTCGGTAAATACATTTAGCTGAACGTTGTAGTGATGGCCCTCAATTTTACAAGTCAGCGAACAGAATCGAGTCGTTGTATTACCATCAGCGTATCATGCACGATTGTGTATGTATGTCATGAAGTTTTCAAGTCTCTGTCTAAAAAAAAAAAACCGTTAGAATGTCTCGTTTTTAGTCGTAGCCAAGACGTGTATTAGACGGCGTGACAAAGAATACGTCATGATTTATTGCAAAATGTTTAAGTCACTTGTTCGAATAGGTACGTTTACCTCGAATATACCACGCTATCGATTTCTGTACTTAACTGCTGTGTTTTCACAATCAGCGATCGTGACGCGATCACAATGTTTTGGGCGCATTATATAAACATATATAAAAATTTAAGTGTATTATAAATGTGCATGAGACAACGGCAACCACTGTTCGCGTTTTCGTTTAGTTCCTATAATGTTTGTAAATATTATTTGTGTAAATGTATAATACATTATGACTTATTACATGTTTAACTACTATTATTACGATGTACAATATTATTATATATATATATATAAAAAAAAAGAAGAGTGTAAGACGTTTCTTACTTAATATACGTACCCACTTGATACATTATAGTATACATTATATATACTGATTTCAAATCTTCGCGTTCGTCTGTATACACTTATTATTGTTTAATCTCGACGTTGTATACTTTTAATGTAATCGTAAACCGTATAAATGTACTAGTTTGGAGTACCTAATAATATGTATAGGCAAAGTTAACGTGTACATGTGGTAATTATATTTGCATATATGGTGATAGAAAATCAAATATCTTTTTTATTCCGATTGTGATTCGCTGTGATTAAAATTAAAATACGTGTTTATCATTATAAATACCTACTTGATCCATATCCCCGTAGATATATATTAATGTGAATTATATAAGTTTATACAAGGTGAACGCGCATCGTAATATATTACGTATAGTGTGTACACGAATAAAAAACCAATGATTCCCAAATCGTGTATAAACTAATGATTTTTCTCGTGTTAATTAATTTAAATAATTTATAAAATTCATATATTATTGTAGTCGATTACACAGTATATATATATATATATATATATATATATATATGTATTATGAAATAAAGTTAAGAACGAATTAATTGCAAACAGTTTTATTTTTTCATGTAAAACAGAATATAGCAAAAATCATTGTCTTCTTGTTTGGATCCACCAAAAAGACCTTGCGAACAGTTAAAATTACATTATTCAAACGGTTATTATACTATACGATTGGCTGGTTATACTCGTATGTACGATATATGGTATCACGGAAATTGTCCAATGACTAAAATATAATAGTTTACTATACAATAGTAAAACTATCCTTGGATAAACGGATGGGGGGGAGGTATTTTTCGAGTACAATCGCTTGGCAAGGGATACGTATATACACTTACTGCGATACAAGTACTGCCAATGGCGTACGAGCAAAGGGGCGCTGTCGACGCCACGGACAATAGAGATCGCGCGAGAGCGGAGCGAAAAACTCTGTGTCGGAGTTGCTATTTTTTTCCCTTCGCCGTCAGTCAACATACGAGGGGGGAAAGAGACCGGACATTTTAATCTACCATTATGTGTGTCCCTGTCTGCACGCCGTATGTATATATATATTTTTTTTTATATACGACAGCTTTATCCCCTGTACGCGTACGTCAAGTGAAAGAGTGCGAGATGGGAGGGAAGGATACGAGAGAGATACAACGAAAGTGCAAGAGAAAGGGAAAACAAGAGTGTGAGAGAGAGAAAGCGGGTGTGGAGTGAAACACTCATACGAAGTATAAAAAAAAAAAAAGAGTAAAAATAACACAATGGGGGTCCGCCGGTCACGTCGGTGTCGGGGTGGCAGGCAGGCAATGGCAGTGAGTGGCAGTCGGCTGATAATAATGATGGATTATGAGAGACCCTGCGAGAGAGTTTCCCCCCAGGGGCGACCCAGTGGTGGAGAAGGGAAGTGATGTGTATACGTGTGTTTGTGTGTGTGTGCAGGTTCCGAAAACCTACGTCAAAAATGCTCTATAACCTTTACGCGAGAACGGCTCTTTATACATGTATATATATATCTCCAACCGTGTTACCATTATGCCACCGAAGTCGCTATTATTATTACTGTTATGCCAAGACTTTCAGTTTTTCGTATATATATATATATATATATATATTTTTATTTTTTTCATTTTCGTTCGCCCTTTTGCCATTATTTCACACGTTATTCATCATGCGATGTGGTTTTCGCGCGCGCCAGTTCTCAAAGCGTAGTGCAGCAAAATGTGTAAAGCACATACACATAGGTACTAACGCAATATGTCAACGAAGCTCCTATCATATTTTCTTACTTAACACATTTATTTATTTCCAGTTATTTAAAAAAAAATAAAATCTAAAACCGTGAAAGTGCGTATTGTAATACTGCGCGAACGTCTTATAAGCCATACATATATCACACACTAATAAATCGTAGTTAATCACGAAAACCATTTTTATAAATCTAAATACTTGGCTAAATAATACATTTGTATTTGATGTTTGATTTCATCAAACGAATACAAATATAAATATAAAATACAATAAATAATTAAATATAATACAATAATTTACAATATAAATGGTCCTGATAAAAATGTTACTTCATTTATATCCCATATTGACTGTGTAAAATTATACTAAAACAGATTTGATTACTACTATCCATTGTTCAAATACTATTTTTTAAATATGAAATTTCAAACATTATTTCTATCAAAAATCTAAGTAATAAAGTAAAGTAATAAATGTGTCAACGAAAATGAAATAATATTTTTAAGTGCTATTATATGTCAACCTTTCCTTTATTACCTATTTTAGTATAGCAGTTTTTATCATGCGCATTTATATCAGTAAGTCTATTCACAGTGCAAAAGAAAACTTGAAATATTTTACGTAAAAAAAAATACGAAATATATCCTTGTACTATTGGCAATTGATTTTGAGTTATAAATCTAAAATTAACAAATGTAAAGAATTAGTGCCTGTATTAAAAACTTTTCGATAACATTTATGATTAAAATAAATTTACTCTTATAATGAAAAACGCTATTTTGAAAAAATACATTGGAATATGTAACTGAATGTTATTCAATTATGTTATATAAACGTATTTGTAATTTTAAGAGGAAATAATTATCAATTACACCATGTTTAGTATTATTTTTAACATTATTAGACTTAAGATAGTATTATAGCTCGTATCCATGAACAACATAGACCATAAATATACTATGAGTATTCCATGATCCAAGTAATATATATTAAATAGCTGATAGAACAATAATTATTAAAAAAATCGTTTCAAAATTCGTATAATACCTATAGATTATCTAGTGCACACATTTTTCTAATATTCTACATACGATTTTTTTTTTTCGTTTTAAATTTGTTAAAAGTATACGTATGTTAAATTTTCCTTATTTTCAGTACAATTTAATCATTTTGACTAGAGATTTTGAGCATCATGGTATATATTTATAGAAAAATCCATTTAAATTGTAATTAATTTTAATGTGAAATTCATGTAAAATATATATATATCATCATATTATATATATGATTCATATACACATCAACAACTTTTTTCTATGTTAATAATTATAAATATTAATACTCTTTCAAACATATAAGAAGCCACGGAAAAATCTATAAAATTACTAATTTACTAATCATCCAACTAACTGTTGGTGCTCAGGTGACCTCAAGTACTTCTGCTGCACCCCAGTGTGAAGTTGCTCTTACATACATAATGCTATATAATTGTTTTACATACCATGTCAATTAGCAAATGTATCATGACGGACCCTCGCGTCTACAACTGTGTTTTACATAGGTTACTAAAATTATATAATTGGCTCATAATGCTTCAAGTGGACGGAATTTCACTGATTATTGTTGGTTGTTAAACCTAAGTATATAATTTATATCACAGGTATAACCTTATAAAGGTATATATGACAAACCTAAGTTATGAATATTATACATTGATAACTTTGATTATATTTAACGACTTTATGCCAAATCACATGTGTAGCTCACATCTAAGTAACTTTTGATTTTAGAATATATTAAAAAGTGATTGTGCGCTAAAAAAAAAATTAAGTCAAGCAATTGAAAGTGAAAATAACTATTCTTATTTTTGTTATTCGACCTTTGAGTATATTTTGTTATTTAAAACATTCTAAAAAAATCCATAAATCTGAGTAGGGTATTCGACTTTCAACTATATTTTTGTACGTTTGCGTGGACCTTTTGATATCGCACGAAAGTAATAGTCATATAACAGTGAGAGATAAATATCACTTCATAATAATTTACATTACACACTGTACAATTAAATACCCTTTTGATTTTTTTTTTTTTTAATTTTAATTTTATTTTTTATAAAGTTAATTTAACTTTTTAAAGCATATTATATTGAAATTATAAATAAATATGTATTTTATGTACATCATATTATTTTTTATACATTACAGATGTATCTATTAAATAGTAAAGTGTGTACACATAACTTCTTAAAATATAATAACTTAATATTTGTGTCTTACTAATTAGGTATATTCATAAATGGACATGACACATGAAGCATATAATATAAACGTTATGCTAATACTGAGTAACTATACATCAATTTGAATAAGTACGTAGAAATTAATAGTTTACTTTATATATATAAATAAATAAATAATAAATGCTTAGCCAGAAGTTTTATTATATTTGTAATGTACGATCGGTCTCTAATTAAAAATTCATCATTAAGTATATACATAAATAATAAAATCACGACTCTATTAATTTTGTACATATATAGCAATTACTGTATAATATTTGTAAAAGAATATTGTACCTGATAATGAATTTTTAATTCGAAATTGGTAGTACATTATAAATATAATAATGCTTCAGACCAAGCATTTATTTATTTATTTATACGAGTATATTTAATTATAAGTATTAACCATTTTCTAATTTTTATTTTATTTTTTTATTATTTAATTTAAAAAATTGTTAATAATGTTTATTAAATATAATGTTTTACATGTGTAATTGTTTTTTAACAATAATGCAAAAATACTGAATTTTGCAATGATAATTATACAAAAACGTCCATTTTCATATTACTTACCCTCATAAAGTTCACAAATTAAACAGTGATTTAAAAATAAAGACTGTGAATCTTGATACGTACCTCTATAGTTAGATAAGTGATATCACACCTAATTTATTGGTTTCACGTCAACGATCGCAAATTCTAACTATAATAATGATTATGAAATACATAATATTAAGTACCCACAGTAGAACCTGAAATAGACATTTCAGATAAACGATTTAGAACTTTTAATTCTGTTGGCAGTTGGACATATCTGGTTCTGCGCGTGATTTATAAAAGAAACGACTGAAGTTAACCTAACATAAAAACGTAACCGGAACATTACATTTTAACTTGAACGATAATACCATATCACGATCCACGGACGACAACGATCGACGAAGGCTGTCGGAATATCGTAGCTAACGAATAGAACCGAAAATGCATTTCCTAATACATAATCCCACGGTATACTCTTGTATTATATACGTCGTACGTGTACTGTATACATGTGCGCACATGGAGGAGCGGGTGTGTGCACAGACGAGGGGCGAAGGGTATGTTTGCACCGAGATCGAGCGTATCAGACGAATTTGACTGATCGGTCGTGGCCAACAGAGGTCGCGAGGAGAGACGGGTGGCCGCTAGGGTCGAGGGGATGGACGAAAAGGATTTTTATAAATACGGATACGCGCATGTGTGTGTGTATGCAAGTAGGTACATGATTGTGTGAACGTGTATGAGTGTGCGTAAATCCCTCTTTTTGGACGGGATAAAATAAATGTCAATCGGTGAAAACGCGCAATAATAGCATTCATTGTGCACGCGCGCTCACGTACATGTATGGGCAGTGAAATTTCCAAAGAAATCAAAAAAATGCCCACAAGGTGTACTT